TAGGTAGGTAGGTAGGTAGGTAGGTAGGTAGGTAGGTAGGTAGGTAGGTAGGTAGGTAGGTAGGTAGGTAGGTAGGTAGGTAGGTAGGTAGGTAGGTAGGTAGGTAGGTAGGTAGGTAGGTAGGTAGGTAGGTAGGTAGGTAGGTAGGTAGGTAGGTAGGTAGGTAGGTAGGTAGGTAGGTAGGTAGGTAGGTAGGTAGGTAGGTAGGTAGGTAGGTAGGTAGGTAGGTAGGTAGGTAGGTAGGTAGGTAGGTAGGTAGGTAGGTAGGTAGGTAGGTAGGTAGGTAATATATCATCACCTCAGGGAGGGGGGCGATGATAACTTCCTCAATGGCTCAAGGGGGCGTTTCTTTCAAAAAGGTTAAGAACCACTGCCCTAGACCACTCACAAGCACCATGTTAGGCACACAACATATGCAGCTGGGATGGAGGAGGAGATGCAAAACCAAGCACTGATATAAGGGCTCCCTCCTCAGGATGTGTGAGAAGAGGAAAACCCCTTAAAACAAAAATTCATCATGAATTCAATTCTTTAAACAAAAAACCTCTGGTTTATGAATGTGGGATATTGTGCTTTTGTACCCATGATTCAAAAACCCAGGAAATGGCTCAATACTGGTGCCCAATATCATGCCCATGCTGCTAGCAGAAAAAAAAGATGCCAAGCTTTTCATAGGAAAGGGCAGCCAAGATGGTCTACAGGATACCCTCTTGTGCTCACTACCATTCACAAAGTGACACCAAGCAAGGAAAAATACCAGAAGCTGACTCCTTTTTTTCATCAATTCAATTCTCACCCAAACACAAAGCAACTGCCAGGGCCATTTTTCAACAAATGGGATGGTATTACTATCAAACGTATGAGCTACTTTGTTGAACTACACTTCTTTCAAACTCTGGTCATTGTGTTGTGGCCCAAAAAATGTAAAACAAGTAAAAGCTGTGATCCAAAAAAGTAACCTTTTCAACTTCTAGGCCAGGCCTCCGGATTCAGTCATAGATGCCAGATGCCCAAGGTTAGATAGGATGTTAGGGATGCTCAAGAGCTCAATAGTTTAGGTCTCTGGCTATGATTGGGAATTCCATTCCTCACTGTGCTTCACTGACAAGGCCTGAACTCAATGATCCATAGGGTCCCTTTCAGCTTTGTAGTTCTATGATGATGATATGATTACATCTTCCATTTCACAGCATGCAACATAAAATGATTCAGGTGGAGCTCCACAATAAGGCTGGGGGAGCTCCTCCCTTGCCGGCAATACACTCCTCGGCCAGTCAGGGGAGTATTGCCTGGAGCACTAGCCTAGCTTCGACATGAGCCAGACAACTCCCTCCCCCCCCNCCCCCCCCCCCCCCGGTACACAATCACATACATGCACAATGCCCAATAGGCCAGCCTTGCTAGGTGGCAACCAGCTCAGCAGCCTGCAGGAGCCATCCACTCCCATTCCGCTGATGCTGCCAGATCCTACAGTCCCCTCTGCAGGTGGCTTTTGAGTATATGTAAAGTATATAGTAAATGTAAATAATAAAGGTTGCAGGTCTGCACAACATTTACCACCTGAAACCAAGGGGGAGGGATTTATTTCTCACAGGGATGGCTAGGATTGTGCGATTCACTTTTGCATTATGCTGAAATGTGAGCATGTTAAGGATGTAACATAAAGTGGTGCTGATGCTGAACATTTTTGACAGACACACCTGCTCCCAACATTCTCCCTCACTCGTTTCTCTTTCTGGCAGGGGTTCATAACATACTTTTCTGTGTAACAGGCAGAAAATGCAGAGGTGCTCGGGATGCTTTATCTGTTGACTCTCTGCCTGCTGTATAGGAGTCCAACGCCCGCGAGGCAATTTCCCAGAAAACCAGTGGGCGCCATCTGTCTGACGGCCCCTCCCTTTCCCGCCCACCCTTCATTCACTTCGCCCAGGTCCTCCCTCGGGCTCAGCTTCCCCGCCATCTGCCCGCTCTCCCGCAGCCTTCAGCCTAAAGTCCCCTTTTCTTGCGGAGCGTCTTCAGCTTCGGGAGCCGCTCCCCGAACGGGCGACCTGCCTGCCTTGTCCTCCCCTTTCTTGCCTTCACCAGCTGGGCTTCGCCCTCGCCCAGGAATGGGCGCTGCTGCCAGAAGAACGGAGCGTTCTGGCTGGCGGGCACTCGGGTCTCCCTCGGGGGTGGTGGTGGCGCGCCTCCCCACTTAGCTTGGGGTAAACGGGCCCATGGGCTCGGACCTTGGAAAGGTTAAGCTTTGACTACAACTCCCAGAATCCCTCAGCGACTGGCCCTGAGGGCAAGGGATTCGGGAAATTGTACCCGGAAAAAGGGTAACTTTTCCAAGCGCCCCTTCAGATCCATATCTTGCCTTTTGTTTCGAAATTCCGCGCAGCAGAGGACGTGGGAGCTAGTCCCCAAGTTCGGATCCCGCAACGTCCCTACGACCACAGGCCGGGGAAAAAAAAAAACCCTCCCGCCTGCCGAGTCCCCCGACTTCTCTTACCGTCGTGAAAACGTTAGTTTCCCGACGTCTGTCCTCATCAGCAGCGCAAGAGTCGGACAAAGGGAGGATGAGGATCAGGGCGGCGGCAGAGAAGAGCGAGAAAAACTTAGCTCAAGGAGCAAATGCCGCTTTAGTAGTAATGAACGCGGAAACACTGTTTAAGGGGAGGAGAAAAGGGCGCTCTGTAGCCGCGCTTGTCCAGTTTCACTTTCTGTCTTCCCGGAAACAGAGAGCTGGCGATCAGGTTCGTTTGCCCAGCATTCCGGGACCTTCTCCCGTAGACTCAAAGCGACGCAGCGAGTCTGCAAGTAGCGCCAAGGCTTCCATTTTACATTACATTGCAGAACTTGACAACCGGGGGGGGGGCAAGCTAGGCGGTGGGCTCCGAAGTCCTGGTTCAAAATCCCTCCTTTGGCCATGAAACTCCATTGATGAGCTTGGACCAGTCAGATGCCACCGCCAGAGTCGTCCGGTTTCAGGCTGCTGGCTAAAGTCTCAGGGAACTGCTTTTCAGGAGCACCAAATGGTGATGGACATCTCAGGGCAAGCCGTCCGAGGGGAGGAGAACATTTTGTGCCTTGCGCTGTGCCTTTAGTGCCTGGACACTTTACACCCACCATTTCCCAGCTACCGTAAGGCCACATTGGCTCAACACAGGTGTTTGTATGTGTGTTGTACTGGTGCAGAGTTGGGTCACCAGAGAGCTAGGAATGGGGAGGGCCCTGAAGAGAGAGGTGGAGGCACTCATAGTTGAGCCCCTGTGCCTCACCTGAGAGCAAAGCTAGAGGTGGGGCAGGGCGTGCATCACAAATTGGGGGCCTTTGTGTTGCACAAACTCTAGAAGTAATGCTACAGGTCCTGGAAAAAAGAAACAAAACAAATTCTGGGCTGGCAGCAAATGTTCTAGAAGCCCCATCCTCAGCCTAGGGCCCAGGTAGGTAAAGGTAAAGGTTCCCCTTGACATTTAGTCCAGTCGTGTCCAACTCTAGGGGGCGGTGCTCACCCCACCCCCCACCCCGTTTCCAAGCCGTACAGCCAGTTTTTGTCTGTAGACAGTTTCCGTGGTCACGTGGCCAGCACGACTAGACACAGAATGCCGTTACCTTCCCACTGAGGTGGTACCTATTTATCTCCAGTACTTGCATTTTTACATGCTTTTGAACTGCTAGGTTGGTGAAGAGCTGGGACAAGTGACGGGAGCTCACTCCATTGCGTCGATTCGATCTTACGACGGCTGGTCTTCTGACCTTGCAGCACGGTGGCTTCTGCAGCCAAGGAGAACTCCTGAAATGTAAATACTAACAAGAAGAGAAACAATAACTGTTGCACCCGCTTACTACATTTTCCCACTTGTTCATCTGCCAATCTCATCCTGTTCTCCCAACGGAGTTGTCACTTTTCTGACAGGTCATATGTTCCGCCTCTGGAGCTCTACGGGCTTCTCTCTCCTCTCCTCAGGACAGCACTCAAGTCAGGATGGGTTCAGCCCAACCTTCTTCCTCACACTTATTCTCACTTGAAAGACTGCCAGAAGTGTGAACAAAATACTTCAAGCAGTGTTATCAATAACACTGGTCTCAGACTTGTCTGGAATACAGCTGATTATTTTAGAACATGGTTATTCTTGGCAGAGTGTACGTTTTGGCTAGAAAAACCTCTAACAGGAGGTGCAGAGACCTAAAGAGCAAAATTAGTTTCAAGTCTTCCCAGAGTAGACCACACCTTTTTCATTCTCATCAACATGCATTTACAGTCTCAGTAATGCATTCTGAGATATTGGAAAAGAGAAAGAATAAAAGTTCAGTTTCCTCACAGTTCCGAATAGAAGAAAAACAGCGTATTGTTAAAATAAATACTCTTAAGTAGAGAGGCATGGCTCCTTTCAAATTCAGAGGCAGAGAGGAAACAATTGGTTACTGCTGGATTGACAGACAGTTATCCCGGCCCAGAAAGGCCCTTCCCAGCCAAAACTCTTAAAAGCAGCGTGAAAGCTTGCTAGAACTCCGGCAGCTATAATTAATATAAGCTACTTTTCTAGCTGCACTTTTAAAAGCATATAACACAAAAACAAAATAAAAGGAAATAAAGACAAAAAATGTTGTGACACCTTAAAGACTGACTGCTAAATTTTAATGTAAGCTCTTGTGCATAAGTCCACTTTTGCAGACATAATCGTCTTTTAACTTTTAAAAGCAGTTTCATTTTCAAAGCATTCCCCATGCCCCTGCCAACTCCATAATCAGGATTTGCCTCTCATGGGATGTAATTCCTCCTAGGATTCTATAGAGCAGAGGCGCCATGTGCATACTTAATATACCCCAAGCGACTGGGATTCATAGACAGGCACCCGTATTTGTTTGATGAAATGTTTTTTTCCACCTGATTGCACAACTCCATACATGCATGTACACTGACGAGCATCAGGCACATGAAAGTTGTGTATAATTATTCTGTTCTATGGTATTTATAATGCATCCCGGGGGGGGAAGGGGGGAGAAGTCTCCCAACGGAGTTTGCAGAAAACATTAATAAAATATTCACAGAGAATTACAATCTAAAAATCATGACATGAAAAGAAAAAAAAAAGAGGGAGGAGGAGGAGAAAAAAAGGAAGCTGTGGCACTAATTCTTTGTTGCAAAGTAAGAATAAAGAGTCTTTCTGACAAGGAGGAGGGAAGTAAGGTCTCTTCAGCTGCTGCTTCTTTCACCAGTGGATGAGCCCAGGCTGCTCTCCCTTATGTCAGGATGTTTGTCTTGAGAGGTGTCCAAGTGGCTTTGGAATCCTGATTACCAGCAGAGACGAAAATAAAAGGAATGCTGCAGTAAAGATGTGGGTTTGTTTTTTAAACATTTCTGTCTTCTATAAACTCTTGAGCTTTTATCAGGGTATAGAATAAAATAGAAAATATATTTTTAAAAGTATACAGCATTACAGAATAAGTAGCAAAACATATAGCAATGTCAGGCTCATGATTTATACCTATGACAGGGCCACTTATAGAAATCATAGCATTCAATAGTTCCTTTTACCTTGTTCATTTGTTCTTCAAATTCTGATAGAGGTCTCGTCAGAGTTTAAAAGCTCTGAAAGATTTTACATAGACATCCAGTTGTCTTTTTATCGTATTCTCAAAGGCTTTCACGGCCAGGATCTGATGATTGTTGTGGGTTTTCTGGGCTATTTGGCCGTGTTCTGAAGGTTTTTCTTCCTTACGTTTTGCCAGTCTCTGTGGCCAGCATCTTCAGAGGACAGGAGTCAGAACTCTGTCTGTTCTGGTGCAGTTTGTTTGGATAGTTGAGTCCTTATAGCTGTGGGATCATCTTTTGTCCTTTTCAGAAGATTGGGTGATTATGGTGATCAGCGTGTTTTTTGTTGTGGGTGTATTGTTGTGATAAGGGGGAAAGATGATCTGTCACTGTGATTGATGGGTGGTCATTTGTGTGCAGTGATCACCGGTACTTATAGCTGGGTAGAGTTCGTTGACCCTATACCTGTCCACAACTGCAAGGTATCCGGTATACTCCTGCAGTGGTGAGGGGGTCCCTTTTGTCCTTTGCTGACCATAACATTTGTTGTATTTTTGTAGTGGGCTTAAATACTGTTTGTATGTTGTGTTTTTTTCAAAAGTTTCTGTGACCCCTTTGATGTATGGCAGAAATACTTTATTTGTGAGTGGCTGTTTTTCCTCTTCAGTTTGGTGTTGTTTTCTTGGTTTGGTGGCTCTTGTGATTTGTTTGATTTGTTCGATTCTTTGTTGCTATATGGTCTTGTTACACAATGTCTAGCAACAGAGCAATATAGTATAGCAATTGCACAATATAATAATAATAATAATAATAAGAAAAAGAAGAAGAAGAAGAAGAAGAAGAAGAAGAAGAAGAAGAAGAAGAAGAAGAAGAAGAAGAAGAAGAAGGATTTTATGCAAGTATCCTAGAGGAAATTGGTCATATACTAAAACAGTATATGTTGATATTTATAAGTGACTGGGACACACAAGTAGGAAATAAAGCAGAACTAAACTTTGTAGAAGAATTTGGCCTAACAGAAACATACAGGTAAATGGCTTATAGAATTCTGTGAAGCCAACCTGCATTATTAATAGCAAAAACTGGAATAAAGTTGAAGAAGAGCACTGAAACAATTATTATACTAAAATATAATTTAAATAACATTGGTGATTCATTTAAAGTCCACAGGAAGAACAGATTTGCCCTACTAAACTCAATTGACCGCAGATCAGAACTGTGGATTGAAACTGGAGATATTATCAGGTAAGAATGCAAAAAAAACTATTCCTGTAGTCAAAAGAAGGAAAAGTCTCAATGGATGACTTATGAAACACTTAAAATTGTTAACACATGAGAAGAAAAATTAAAAGTGAGAAAAATATGGTGAGAATTCTAAATTTAAGTTTCAGCAACTGTCATGTAGAGACAAGGAGAACTAATCCAATTATTATTAAAAAGGTATAGAAGAGAACACCAAAGAGGAAAAAACAAGATATCTTCCATAAGTTCTAAGAAATCAAGGGGAAATTTTAATCAAGACTAGGAATACCAAAAGATGAACAGAGGAACATACTATTTGTTTAAAACAAAATAAAGTGAAGATAGAAGCAATATACTGAAGAACTGTGTAGAAGAGATGCAAAGATACCAGATTCCTTTGAAGAAGAAGCCTGTGATGAAAAACTTTCCATTTTAGAAAGAGAAGCCATTCACAAAGCAATTGGGGAAAAACAAATCCCCGGGAGTAGATGGGATATCAATAAAACTAATCTACAGAGTACGAATCTATCACTATCCCAACAGATGCTATATAATTTGCAGTAAAACCTTTCACTTTGTGGATCATTAAAAGCTACCAGTCATTCTAAAAGAAATACAGGTGTGCTACAACGTTTCATTATTCTGATGTGTTCTGGAAAAGAGGCCACAGTTAGAACAGAAAATGGAACGGCAAAATTGTTTTCAGTTGGCAAAAATGTTAAACAAGGATTATTTTATTTCCTTGTATGTTCAGTCTAAATGCAGAACCCGTCATATGGAAAGTTGGATTAAAGTCAACTGAAAAAAGAAACACCAATAATTTAAGATATGTAGATGACATCACATTACTAAGAGACTTGAAATTGCTGTTGAGGAAGATTAAAGAAAACCCTGCAAAAGTGGGATTATAGTTGAACTTTATGCAAGCTGCACAGTCCCAGGATGTCCCCAGAAGAAAGGAATAGCAAACCAGTTCTGAGTATTCGCTACCTAGAAAACCCTGAAAAGGGGCACCACAAGTCAGAACTGACTTGACAGCACACAATTATTATTTATTATTCTACCTTGGTTCAGTCATAAATCCAAATAGAGACTGGAGGCAAAAAATCAGAAGACGACTGAGACTTCGAAGTGCAGCTTTGAAGGAACTAGACAAGATCCCAGAATGTAAAGTTGTGTTGATGGAGACGAAGGCCAAAATAATCCATTTTGAGGTATTCCTGATTGCCATGTATGGATGTAAAAGCTGCACAGTGAAAAAAAGCTGAGGTATAAAATTGATTCATTTGCAATGTGATGTTCAAGAAAAAAAATTACAGATACTGTGGACCAGCAGAAAGATAAGTAAATGTAAATATATATGTAATATAAAACCTGAATTCTTTCAAAAAGCACATCATAAGAAAATGAGACAATAACATGAAGAAAATTTGAAGACATCAGGAAAACAGGAACATTGAATATGAGGTGACTTGACTCAATAAAGGAATTCATGGCTGTAGTTTGCATGACCTGTCATGGACATAGCTGGAGCAGAGTGGAGAGTCAAAGCAGCTGGGGAAAGGGAGAAGATCAAGGAACCACGAAAGCTCATCTGTTAGCATATTGTTTGCTTGTGAATAAATGAATGTAGATAGGTTGGTGGTCATGAAAAGACAAGAAACTGAATGTGAATGAATAAACCCATCTTTGAATCCAGGCACAGAGTGAAGCAACAGCAGGTAGGAATATTGCTGGTTTTGGTTTGTTTTTGACAAGGGTTTTGGAGTGGATCACTGGGGAAATGCTTATGGGAGTGTCTGGATGAATGCCTCCATGCCTGCCTCTTTGCATTTGAGAGAGAGAGAATGTTGTATGTAGGTTCGAAATGTGCACCCTCTTCTGCTCCTGACATTGCCTGTTATTCCTCACTCTGCCCACTATTGACTTCTGGTCTTTTTGCCCCACCAGCTGTAACGGCCCCCTGTCACTCCTGTCCCTTGCTTTGGCTCTGAGCTGTTCTTCTTGTGATTGGTTTGTCACATGGCTTGCCATGTGCCCAACTTCACCATCACTGTGTGACCTATCCAATAAAGCAGAGCCAGCTAGGAGTGTGTTGGTGTGTGCGTGCGTGTGTGAAATGTTTACCTGATTGCTTTGATGCAATCACATAAGCAGATGGCATTCTGGCCTTTAAAAAACCGCACTCGAAATGCTTCTGTAGAGATTTTAAACATAAACAAAAAGTGGAAGTAGCTATACTGGCCATAAGGGGTCAAATCCATAGCTGGGCAATATTTTTATTAGCTCCAATCAAAATGCCACAAAAGCACCCACGGTTTCAAGATTCTCCAGAACTTTTATTCTGCCTAGGAGGTAGGAAAGCTTCCCTAATATTTTTTTTGTATGAACTAAGCTGATTAAGGTGTCTGGAGATGTTATAAAGCTCATTCATTTCTGTAGCATTTCGGGTGTTCTGTATGGAGAGTTCGGTCTGCTTCAAGCCCGTTTGGACAGTTCTTAAATGACTTCAAAGTGTTGTCAGATTTGTGTTTAGAAGTGAAACTGTTCCACTGCAGTTCTGGGGCAGAGGAGGAGGAGGAGGAGGAGGAGGCAGGCAGGCAAGCAGCTGCTGTGCTTTTTGCTTCCTTTGGGCCATTCATTTCTCCAATATTCTGCCTGCCCCACTGAATGGTACAAAACAAGACGTCCATTGTACTGGTTTCTGTAACTTTTATTTTATGTTTTTCAAATATTATGACAACATTACAACATTCTTGGGTACACAAGACAGTATTACAGTCATTTACACTGAAGGGCTAAGAGTAATTCATGGGAATGGGAGTGGAGTAGCACAGATAATCCCCAAGTTCAAACTGGGTGGCATGGACACTGCTGCTTCATCATTAATTTACTGGTGGAACCACTGCAGTGATTCCTAGCACTTTTGCAGTTGTATTTCATCATCAAATACTACTTATTTCTTTTAAATGAGAAGAAATACCTGTTCCAAGGAACTTCACTAGAAAACAGTAAAGGAAGAATATGACAGATATTTGTGCATGGGGAGGGGGGGAAATAACAGAAAAAGTGGGCACAGTGCATGTTTCCAATTCAATAGAATGCATTCTTCTTGCAGATCATTGCATGGCTGTAATATTTATCTTTGCATTCAATCAAGGGAAGCACAAATCACAGTGGAATTGTGCATACAGACACTTCATTTGTGAAGAAGTTAATTTTGAATTTACCCCTAAATCAGGATCAAGGTTGTTATTATTTTCAATATTTGACCTGATTACTTAAGGCAGTGATCCTCAACGTTGGGCCACCAGATCTTATTGAACTACAACTCCCAGAAGTCTTCGCCGCCACCTCTGCTGGCCAGGATTTCTGGGAGTTGAAGTCCAAGAACATCTGGAGGCCCAAGGTTGGGGACCACTGACTTAAGGTATTGATCCCTTGCTAGTGAAGTCAATGGTAGAATGTTTCAACCATAGACTTCAAAAGGGTAAATAGAAACACATCCTACGTCCTTCAGACATCTCTTTGTCGAAATCAATACCAGTTTCTCTGAACAGGAGGTAATCAGTACTGGAGTATCTGAAGGATAGAGTCTCCTTTGAATGCAAAGCAGCATGCAGGATGAAATGTGCTATTGGCTCAGGATGCATCTGCTCTGGGAAACGGTGGTGATGAAGGGTGATGGCAGTTGTTTTTTCATAAGTGAAAAGGAAGTTTTAGCTGGACATTTGCAGTGTTTGAAAACTTTTGCTAGCACCAGTGTTACACAGGAAAAGCACATATAGGATCAAGAGCAATTGCAGCTTTGAAGTCTTGACCTGAACTCTGTATGGAACAGATATCCCTCTTGCTGATGTTGGACTGAATGTTCCATCATCCTTTATCCTTGACTCAAGACTGATAGGAGTTTCAGTCCAACAATACTGGACTGCACATTCAATGGGCCACACATTCCCTACCTGTAGTAAATAGTGCTGTCAAATATGAATTTATCTGTATCTGATCTGAAGACCTCAGAAATGATAATATTGGTTCATACAGGTACATTCACAACTTTATCTCAACACTTGATTGCTCAGTGACTCTCAGCCACTATATATAGTGTGTCAGAGCTAATAGCAGACAATATGGTCATTCTTTCAGCCTTTATTAATTTATGGTAAGTCATTAATATGTCACCTGGTGCTACAGTTAATGAGAAATAAACAGATATACAATGAACTAATCCAAAGTTTAAATCTGCGCTGTAAGTTGTTCAGCAATTGTGCATTTACAGTTCCACCCACCACTGCTGGTACTGAGAACATGCCTACAACTCCTGGCAAACAGATACTCTTTTGCTGCCTGCCTGTCAAATGAGGAAGGTGGAACATCAAGGCCAAACTATCCGGGGTTCAGTTTTTCATGTGGGTTTAGTATATTCTGCCACTACCAATGTTAGCTTTAGTCAGGCATCAGACCCTGAACAATCCTGAGCTGGTGTACATTACAGAATGTATTTAAGGACAAATAGGGCCAGGTTTGCCAAGGAATGGCTGTGACCTTGTGGCCAGTCCACTTGAAATCCAGGTCTCTGTACTTTACAGAAGTAAGGCGAGTGGCCAGGGCAACCTGACCATGGCTATCCTGCAGGATGACAGCATCAACCCAGCATCCTGTGGAAGTGATTGTTTTGCAGACTGCTTGGGTGGATTGGCCAACATGAAAGGAAGGTGCAATATTTATTTCATTTTATGTGGACAGGGTTATGTGTGAACCTGCTCTTGCTCATTGTGGAGGTCCATTTGTTTTTAGACTGAACCACATCTCCACAATTCACAAGTCGGTTGTTGTACTAAGATGTACATTTGCTACCACTCTTTCTGAGTCATTTCCCTGTTGTAAACACAAGAGGAGCTTTCTTGTTCTTCACTTGTTTCCCAAAACATCTTTCCTCAAAACTTATGGAAGGTCAATGGGCACAGTCTCCTGGCAGTGTCTCCCATATGTTCTTTTTTCCTTTTGAAATACTGGTAATTTATTTATTTCTTCTACAAGGGCACAAACTGTGGAATTCAAAGAAACCCTTTGCCCCCAACCGATGTGGCTCTCTGAATACTGCTGCACTGCCTGCCCCCTCAGCCCTCCCAGGGAACGGCACTAGCCACAACTGATGGGAGCGGCAGTTCGGCAATGTCTGAAGGGCCGCACATTTTGTCTCCGGCTTGCCCCTTAAATAACCCATGTCGTCTATAATGTCATATTTTCAAAAAAATCTAATGACGTATCAGGTTGCTTTGCAGCCTTTGACCTTGTTCTTTCGTTTGACTGCATTCTAGTCCAAAACTGTAAATAGGCAGCAACCTGTGATGCGGAGAAACAATTGCCAGGCAGGGCTGGTAAGGAAGGATTGGCTCCTTGCTGATCCTTTAACCCACCCACATCCCTCCAAGCTTTCAAATGTGCTATAAACAATTATACAGATGTGTGCGTGTGCAACAGGAGTAAAAGAAATTGTTGTTGGCTGATCATTTTTATTTTTACGTGCTTACAGTTGCATGGCTGATCTAGCCCTGTTGCAATTTTCCTTTGCTTTTATTTCACAGTAGATTCCACCTGTTAACAGCTGAAATCCTGTTGCTTAGCATAGCAAGTTACAACTAGAATAGGCCTATTTGAATCCATGGAACCTGCAGAGGCGTTAACTCACCCTCTCCCCACTCATTCTACTTGCAGCTTACCACACTCAGCAGCAGAATTTCAGACCGTGTATTGTACCAAGTGCTCTTAGAATGGGCTGAAAGACCCATTTCAGACTCCACACCGCAATGATCTATGTGTAGCACCCAATGCTAAAGTGCTATGCTCATATAATGCCCTTTCTGAATAAATAACAGTAAAATAACAATAACAATAAATATACATTTAAATATAAATATAAATAATTAAAAAGGGGGGCACATCACCCAAGGCTATTTATAATGTTCAGAGAGGCACCATACACCAAGTCCATGTGCTTTCTGAAGATGTCATTGAAAGGAAGCTTGCCCAGCCTGACAAGAGAGGACAAAGGTCTATGGATGCAGTGGAGCAAAGCAAACATAGTGTTCCTCTGGGTATAAAGACAAAAGTGATGCCTGGGCTTAGAAGGATGCTTAAGCCCTGGAGAATCCTCCCAGTTGGTGATATACAAACATGCAGAGAGGCTGTAGGATCCTGGAGCTGACATGCAGTGAGTGAAGACTGTTAACCCGGGTGTGTATTATGTACAGTCTGTAGGCGCAGGGACTGGCATCTGAGAGCAGATGAAGGCTTTCACTGGTACAGGTAGCTGAGTGCACAGACACAGAACATTCAAGAGCAAATGGGAGAGAGAGTTCTAGAGGGGAATTTATTCTTCCTGGTTAGTCCTTGCCTGATCTCACCTTCTTTCTGGCTTTCCTCTTCCTGCCTGAGGATCAGGTTCCTCCTTGTACACCGTTCTCCAGGGCTTTTCATATGGGCGCCTGTTTTCTCCCCTCCTAGCATCTCTTTTGAGATACAAGGGAGGATCATCTTTTCAGTAGAGCTCCTTGGGTGCATGGAAGCATTAGAGGTCCCAAGCATCCTGGCCAGGATAAAATACCAGCCAAAACTCTGCCAATTACAAGTTTGTAGAGCTTCATTCTTGGGCTCATTCCTTTCCACTTTCATTCTGTCAAATCTTTGTTCCCCTTGAAACAGTTTTAAGCAATGGCAACAGATCAAGTCAGGTATGCACATTGTTGCCTGTTCTATGGCTCGTCGCTTGTTCTGTGAGGTCTCTGTAGTAGGCAGATTTCAGAAATCTGGGATAGGAGTCCTTTTCCATCAAAGTGTAGGTTTTGGCTTGGGCTTCTTCAAAGCAAGCAGAAGTGGCAACAACAGTGAGGTTTCTCCTAGTTGCCTCTCTGGTTTCATGGTCAAGGTTCACCTGCAGGGAAAGGAAAGCACATGGTGACTATGTGTTCAAGAGCAGAATATTTCTGAATGGCTGTGTGTGTTAAAAAATATCAGGTATCGTGTATATTCCAGTACTGCATCTGAGACAAAAAGCTTGCATCATTAAAAGCTTGTATCAAAAGACTTTCTTATTCTGGAGCTCAATGCAAGAAACTAATTACTCTTAAAAAGGGGTGCTACATATTCAGCAATGAGAGACCCATACAAAATATATGATAAGCTTCTGGGATTCTAGCCAGCCTCACAAGCACTGCCAACCAGGGACAAGTTATTCTTTTTTTCCTCCAAGGGGTTGTATAACCCACTTGAAGTAAGGAGTTCCTCAGGAGCATTTATCATAGCAGACATAACTTTCAATATCTACTGAGTGGAATTTCTTTTATAAAAAAAGAAAATAGAAAAAAGTAGAGTATTCAAAATGTTGTTTAATCCTTTAGAATCAAATTGATGGTACATCATCATCATCATCATCATCATTATTATTATTATAAAAGTTTTAACCAAAAACCTAAGTATCTGTTAAATATCAGCACAGTATGTATGCTGTTGTTCCTAATATTGCCGAGTTTTGTAGCTCTGATGGTGTGATTTCTGAGATCCGCAACGGCTTATAGTTCTTCCTCTTCCTTCTCAGAGGACTTTCTTTTAGTCCACCACCATCACAGGCTCATTTTGAGGAGACTCAAACTGAGATTGCTCCTAGTGTATGGAATTCTCTCCCACACAGATCTAGTTTGGGCCCCTCCTTGCTGCCCTTCCACCAGCAGATGAAAACCTTTCTATTTTAACCAACCTTTGATTTGTAAATGCCCTGGATTGTTTTGTGTAGTGGGGATACAACATATTTCATTTTTATCATATATTTTAAATTTGTTTAAATCTGATCCTACTACAGGGCTTTTCTGGAGGTCCATACAGGAAGACAGATTTCACTAAACTTTTGCATGAGAGGAATGGGAACCTAATAGCTCTCTGGACAACTAAGGAGAGGAGGTATGAGTTGGGAAGTTCTTAATCAATGAACTCCACTCTTCCATCGGCAATATGGGGAGAATTATACTGGCCAAGTTGAAAGGGATAGTGTAGAAGACTGCTATAATAGGACATATGAAGCACTTTTGAATATTTAGGGAAAAGGACAAGCAACACTATAGATCCACAGTTTGTACAAACAGTAAGTAGGCTGATAGTATCCCTATAGTAGGGGTAGTGAGGCTAAGAGTGACTTCACTCTATTATACCGAGTTTATGGCAGAGGCAAAAGCCAAGGTGGACTTGCTGATTCCTATCTCAGTCTCCTTGCTCCTATGGCACACTGGCCCTCAGTCCCAAGTACAGAGCTCATGTATTGTATTTAATGAAGTCCTTTAGAGACACACCTTGACCACTTATTATCAACCTTTAGGTTTTGTATCGAGGAGAGCCATGGCAGGTCCCTTTTCCTTTATCTGCTGAAGAGACTTCCTAGCTAGAAATCAGTATTATTAGGCAGAAGAAGTGAGGAAATGGCAAACAAAGACATTTTATTTTTATGGTCTGATGGCAGATGTTTCATAATATATGCCAATCCTTTTAGCACGAAATTTGATTAAGAGCAGGTTTGCCCCTTAGGAAACCACATTGAGCCAAATAAACGTTATATTAACCAACCTTTATGAGTCTGAAACCCCACCTTGAGTGCACCATCATGCATGAGAAATGGTTAAAGGCTACTATTAAATAACATGAAAAATGTAAAATACTACTTTTGGGGTCAAGGGAGAAATGGTAGAGGGATGTTGCTGGGCTGACAAAGGGTAGGGAAATCTTACTAGGAAGGGAAGATAGCAGAACTAGCCTGAAGAGATGAATCCACAATCTGAAGTGTTCTCTTCATTATAGTTTCTCTTCCTGCCCGTAAAATGTCAGTCTTTCCCTGGTCACACATACATTAGCTAGATCACTCAGACTATCTTGATATTTCATCTCTTTTCCACTGTAAAACCACTCTGATCAATAAAGAAGTATCATTTCAGGGCAAAATTGCACCACTGAGACTTAATAATGCTCACCCTCCTGCCAAAAACCAAAGCAAAAGTTAATGAGGTCCTGTTATTATGCCCCCCCCCAAAAAGGGGGAAAATCCTTCTAGAAAACCACATGCTTCAGTAGAGAGCTCAATGAACAAAACACTCCAGATAACTGGGCGTACTTGCAACAGATTATAAACCTATCTGAAGAAAGCATTTCCCCCTCTACTTAATTTCTCCTAAGATGAAAATGATTTTAATGATGCAGAAAATGTTAATGATTTTCATGAGTAGCAGTGACCATTTCTCATTTGGAGGGCTCCTCCGTGCAATCTGCTTTGTGCACTGTGTGATTAATTCCTCCCTACAGAGTACAACTATAAACCATAAACACCTGCATTATGTCTCCCATACAAGCATACGAACCAAAATCCTGTTGCGATTTATCATGTGCAAAAGAGGAATTGTGTGCTGCCCTGGTTAAGTAATGGGAGGCCAGGTGCAGCCGCCCTCCCACCTGCACGCCTGGCATACATCTAGCACACAGCAATCACTTCAACATTAAGCAACAATTGCCCACAGCAACTTATGTGACTCCTCTTGTGCACACATAAAATCCCAATAGGGTTTTGGCCAAGGACTGTCTTCCTTAGGGTTGCAGTTTAAAATGATGCTGTAGGTAGCAGTTTATTTAAACTGAGGACAGGCCTTCAAATAGACTATCCTCTGTGAGACAGAATGCAAGGCCGCCTTGGAACCCATAGTGAAAATGTTAACATACTTCTCTGGGGGCCTCATTTTGAACGAAGTCCTCAAAGATCCTGTTGGCTTTGGCTGCTAGCTTTGCTTTTGAACGGGTTTTCTTATAGTCCTCACAGGCCAGCCAGAAGTCCAGATTCTCTTCGCTGAATTCTGTTTTAAGGAATCCATGGAACGCTGCCACCCCACCTGTGAACAAGAACAGGGAACATGCAGTTTGGAACAGTGGTGGGCAGAAAAAGAAGGAACGTCTGTGGCATAAATAGAAAAATGCTGTGCTTTATGGAAATCCTGACCTTCAAGGGGCAAATATGAACTAGAAACCTTGTACTGAACAAAGCTTAGAATATTAGCAGAAAGTGTATCTGGGAGCAGTTTAGGAGAGATGAAATATCACAAGCCAATGGATTTAAAACAAATGGATAGATACACATGTAAGGCTTTTTTTAGGGGCAGATAATTTTATATATAGAAGGTTCTTACAGGATGACCACCCTGTGCATTCTGTTATTTGGTTGGCTTACCCCTATAGGAAACAATTGCTTTGGGGAATAAATGTTGAGTGAGGAAATGACAGGGGAAAGGGCAGCACTCCCCACTACCCCCACCATGGTGAGGTCCTGATCTAGACTGGTGAGCTCTCTGTCTGCCAGATTGCATGTGTGCCTAGTGTGTTTTTCCTTTTCTTTCTTCTTCTTTCCTTTTCCTCACAAGGAGAAAATCAAGCACTGAGTTCAAAGACTTGACATTTCATTTTACCCAGAGGTGACTAAAGATGGGATGTTGAGGCTGCTGCAGGGCAGCAGGGGATGCTATGGGGCAGTCGCTCTGCATTTTATTTCACACACAGTGGCTTCAGGAGCCCTTCTGGTTTCCACAAACAGGTTGGGGGCGCTCTCTGCTCATTTTGAGGATTGTGAAAAGATTACCAACTTGAGGAAGGCTAAGATGAGGGATAATGTGATATTTCAAGCAGCCACCATCCTAGCACTTAGAATTGCACTTCCCTGTTACGAACACTACATATCAAAAGAGATTCGTACTCACTTTTACTTCTCAAGAGATGGTCAAGAGACTCCTTCCACCCAAGCACTTCTTCTATAGAGAATCTGGAGAAGAAAGTAAATATTGAAATGGTGTCAGTGATGGGGTGCAAAAGTACTTTGGGGGCAAAGAACAAAAACAAGAGGAAAAGTCTACAATATCAAAAACAGGAAGAATGAACAATCTCATCACTATCTGGGGATGTCTTCTCCCTACTTGAGTCAAATTATCTCAGATCCATGAATGGGTCCAGTATTTACCACTCATCTATGGCCAACTCTGCTATACTTCATATTCTTATTTAATAATATAATTTATTGTCATTGTAAGTATATACACAGTATATCATACAACGAAATTATTTGTCATAAAGGGATAGGGAGGCCATTGTTCTTGTTGATAACTCACCAAAATGTGTGGTAAGGGTCATTATGGGCACCTAAACTACAAAGTTATAATTGAAAAGTCCTACCACACAGCATGTTCTCTGCTGCAGATAGCTAGAATCCTTGGTCAAGGTTCCGCCATTCCTTTGAATTATTTGACATTGTCGTAGACCTAATATAGTTGCTCCTTCTAACACAGCTCCTTCTGACACAGTCTCCAGTAGCCACCTTCTTCAGATCAGCTTGCCATTCCAGTCATTGCTTACCTCTGTTTTGTGCTCCGACTGAGTTTATATCCAAAGTCTGGTTTATGAAGCAGAATCCCTAGACGGGTCTTGAACTCCTTGGCTCTGGAAAATACCAAAAAAAAAGCATGTCAAAATAGATAGTACAGTACTGAAAAGGATGTGGCTATGAGGAGGCAGCAGGGAGTCATTTGCTTTAAAGCTTGAGAAAGGGGGCCAGTTGCTGGCCTGGTGGGTGTGGATAGGAATTTCCATTACTCTGGATATTTTGACAGAGAGCGGAGTAGGATAGCTGTTGCATGCTTGCTCTAAAGGTAAGAGATGCATGCCAGAGGGATATGTTCTTATTCAGGCTGATTCCTGCCATGGACCAGTATGCATTTTCAGTAATGCTGAATTCTGAAACCAATAATTCCTACCTACAGAGAAGGCAAGGCTGAATTCCATATGCAAATAATTTAATAATCTCCATCAGACTGGTGGTCCAGTAAAAAAAGGCTAGCCCTTTAAAATCTGTGGGTCAAAGTTCAAAATTCAGACCTCTTGGATCTGACATTGCAGCCGGCTTTGGTTTGCAACTTGTGCTTGATGCTACCCCAGGAACTGGCAACATGTCATCCTCCACATGTTGTTGGACTGCAACTCTCATCAGCTATGGTCAGTATAACTCATACTGAAAGGAAATGAGAGTATGGAAGGCTTTATTTTGCCCTCCCCCCCCCACTCCCCAGATTTCCCAGTTGCCAGTTTGGAAAGAACAGTGGGATCCAGCTGGCAATAGCCAGAATCCTATTGGTGTCTATGTTAATCTGTGTAACCAGCCACAGAAAATTTTGGCAAATTCACAGGGTGCCAGTGGGCATCCCACCTCCATGCCTGGTCATGTGCCTGACTGCAGAACTGAGACAGGTCTCCAGCCAGGGTATCTAACATATTAAGAGGCAAACATCTATGGCTAAGTGAGCCACTGACCTTCAGAATGTTTAGGACTGAGCAGAACTTCAGTTTCTTTCAACAGTTTCTCATTCTTTCCTCCAAACACCATTGATCTTTAATCCTTTGTACTATGGGACTCTGAGGGAACTCTAACTGATAGATGATGGATGGAAACAATCCAAATATTTATTGAAGTAACAAAAAAAAATTCATTTCCATAGCATATAAGCACTTTTGTTTTAAATGTGTCATAGTTTGCAGTACAAATGCCCTTTCTTTTGTAGACTTAAAAGACTGCCATTTTTGGAGGATGAGGATGTGGGTTCTGCGCATGTTTGGTGTATTTGTTCTGTGGCATCTGCCATTCAGATGCAAAGAGACCAAAGTACACAGAATTGTTTGCCTGTTAACCATCTGTTGTAAAGACCAGTTCTTTCCCGCTTGAAGCATATGGTATCCATTAGCTGCTTCCTCCTCTCTGCTGCAACATGTTTTTTTTCCTGCTTGGCCATGTGCCCAATAATGGACTGTTTCCACCACCATCTCTCTATTGCTGCTCAATCTGGGAGAATAAGACCACATAAAGGCATCTGGGAACTTCCCAGACATTTATAGGAGGTATGGTACCACCTTTTTCACCTGCAAGGACACCCATTTGTGGCTTTTTCTGTTCTGCTTCCTCTGAAACTTCAAAGCCTTCGCCAAATTCATAATAATAGCTTAGCCACTGCTCATAAATCAGGGTAGTATCTGGGGAGTGAGAAACACCCACCCATCCTGTTGAGCAAAAAAAGGAAGAAAAGAAAAGGAAAAGAAAGCCTCTCTCTGATTGTCTTTAAGTTCCCAGAAAGTGAGCATGTGTAAGGGCTGTAAAAGCCTCACTTTCTTGGCAACGGAAAAATAAGCACCAGGAAAAGCATCTCTGTGTTTGTTATTCTAAGACTGGCAATTGAACTAAGTGGGTTTTCAATATGTGGACCTCCAGTGACTTCACCTGGGCAGGAATCCAGGTAAGGGAGACTTGCTATTTTTTTGGGGGGGGGGACCATTTGTTGCTTCTAGGAGGTAACTACTGAAGTGGCCGACTGTCCTGCATTTCTGGAATACAATACAGATACAGCACACTGCAAAACGTCTAATCTGAACTGAAATCTAGTGCCCGTTGAATAGCATTTGCTAAACACATCCCTCCCTTTTCTTGCCTCCCTCCCCACTCCATCTCTCCTGCTGAAAACAAGCATGTATGCTGTAAGCTCCTCTTGCCTTTGTTGTTTGTTGTGCTTCTGTTGCTCTTGTAAGTCAGCAGGTACACTAAGAGTGCTAAAGCTATAAATATAGTAACATACCCTAATTCCTTTCTTGAGACAGTTCAGAATGAGGCTTCTCCCAGGCCACCTTTCCTGAAGCCTCCCAATTTCTGCCTCCTCAGTAACCCTTCCCAAAGACCCTTGTTGTCTGGTTTGGGGGACTCTTGGGACAGCTGTTGGCTGCGGTGTTTCTACAGCCTGCACAGAGAGGTGCCTCCTGGCTTGGTGCATCGCTGCGACAATTTTGGAGACGGCTGGCTGGCGCATCTCTTTCTATTCTTAGCTCAGCCCCCCCCCTTCCCCGGGCTGGTGCGTGGCAGGAATGCTGAGTGGAGAACTGCACTGCAAAATCAAGTGATGGGTCTGGGCTAAGGAAGAGGCTTCCTCCACCCAAGCAAAACAAGAAACACCTACTCATACAAGAGGAAAAGTACCTAAGAAACAGCCCTGAACAGCAGCAGTGCAGAAATGCAGGATGGAAAGAGTTGTTTTCGTTTCCTTGTTGTTGTTGTTTTTCTTTACCAGCCAAGTAGAGCTAACTAAACACTGCCAGTCGGGTCGTGATTTGAAAAGGGGGACTTTGGGATATATAGAAATAGGACTCCTTCTCGGAAGAGGTGGGCAAGGCTAGCGCAGCTCCACAACTGTGTCGCTCAGCCCCGCCCCGCCCCAGCATCTCCCAAGGTTCTTCTTACCTTTCCAAGCAGCTGGCAGGGAGGGCGGCAAGACCCCGACACATCCTGAGGGCGCGGAGAGTAGCTTGGCTTCAGCCTGCGGTGAGGTGACCGGGAGCGCCGAGCAGCGGCTGATCCGGGCAGCACCTCCGGCGGATTAGACGCTCTCTTCGGCGCGCATCCGGGAGCGGGGCTTTATATCTGCCGGGAGGGGGGGGCGGGGATCGAGCGCTCAGCCTCTGTTTCTCCAGACGAGGGAAGAAGAAGAGGAACTGTCCTTGAACGCTTTTAGTCATAAACGTCGCTTCCCAGAAAGGAGGACAAGCAGAGTGAGTCTGCTATTATAAATTATGGGCGCCTCCATTGACATCGCTGCTCCAGCATCCACCTGATTTGAAGGGTGACTTAACAAGGACTCCATTCAGCAGCGCCGGGGGGTGCATTTTGCGCCTACCTCTGTGGGGAAGTAAACAGCTTTTATGTCAAGTGTATGACGAAAAAACCCCGCACGTCCTCATGAATGCTCTTTGATGCGCTTCTTTTTTTAAAAAAAATGCTGACACCTTAAAGATTAAAGAAGCTTTGTTTGGCCGAAGCGTTCGCAGATTGTAGCCCGCTTCTCCAAAGGCGCGGAGCAAGGGAGAGACAGCTTTTGAATGCCTGCTTTTGTATTTTATCAACTAAGACCATCCTCCTTGATTCTGAAGAAGTGGGCTATAGTCCTCGAAAGCTTGTCCCAAATAAGACATTTTAGTCTTAATGATGTAAGCTACCTTGGGTAGGTGGGAGAAAGGTGGGATTAAAAAAATATTGTAAATAAATAAAATAATTAAGTTGCCACATGATGATGCTTTGCCGTTTTTGCTGCAACAGAAGGTTCCTCTTAGAGATGAGTTCCAAGCACACCTACTTTGAAAGGGCCCAATTAGATGTGGTGGCCTTGGCCCTTTAGATTTGGCAGCAGATGGGAGTTTTCCTCCTACCCCACACAGTTGGCTTAGGGTGGAATCCAGGAATGACTTGCATCACAGCAGAGTCATAGTCCCTTCTTGTCCCACACCATTTCCAGCATTAACAAAGCTGCATGCAGTAAGTAGAGATGGCTAGAAAAGAGTCACAGCTGCACTTACTCCTTTATCACACAGGAGTCATCAGCCTTAAATGAATTGCCCACACTAAGCACAATCTTATACCATTTGGATGCATGTTTATCCCTTTGGAAAACAGGCAGGCAGCTTGTAGACTTTCAGGCAGGTGCCCAATAAAGATTTTTTTTCTGCCTTCCAAATATAATAACCTTTTTAGTGCTTCTACAGCTTCATTCCTGTCATCCAATAACCAGTTTTACTTTGGTTTAATTATGCTGTATTCTTTTATTCTCAGCTCCTAGCTTTTTATTTAGCTGTCTTTAATTGGTGCTTTACTATACTATTGCTGCACTATTCTTTTTATATTTTTACCTGATTGTACACCATCCAGAGAGGTTTGGCTATGAGTGATTTAAAAGTACAACAAACAAAACACACACGACCCACTGCAAATCTCCACAAAGCTCACCAGAATCCTAGCAAGCCCCAAGACTTGAGAAAGTGGCTTTGAGCCCCCACCCCCCAAAATTAATTTTTACAGCAGGAAGCCTGTAGCATCTCTGACCTACCAAGTTAAAAACAGTGCATCCTAAGCAATGTCTGGAAGCTAAAGGGGATTCAAATAAGAGTTGGCAAGCCACCGTATAATGTAGTACTAGCACTTATGCAGGTTCGTACCCTGTGTGGTTTTATAAGTAGACATTAACTCAGGAGACCTGGGTTCAAATTTCTACTTGGTCATTGAAACTCACTGAGGGCAGCACTAGTAAAACCACTGCATAAATAGCTCACTTATCTCAAAAGTCTTAGAGCTGCTGTCAGTTAGATGGGATTTGGTGGCACATGTTACACCTACCTATGTTGGACAGTAACAATGAGAGGAGGTGGGAATTCAGATCTGTAAAAGTTCTCAGAGAGGTAGCTGTGTTAATCTGTTTCAACAACAACAAAAGAAAAATACAAAACTATTGCAACACCTTTAAGACAAACAAATATACTGTATTTTGGTGCGTACTTTCATGGATACAATCCACTTAAAGAAGATTTAAAGAAGGTTTTATGACACACGAAGAAGGTTTGAAAACATCATGGACTGAAGAGTTAAGCTTTCTGCCTCACTATGATGGCCCTGATTCAGAGTGGGGGTGAAGGAGCATTTATTCTTTTTTAAAATGTGAGAGTTCCATCATCACCACCTACCATCTTGTCTAATTTAGCCCAGTCATGGGGGGGGGGGGGAGTGAGAATGAAGAAAGCCAGAAGGTAAGGCCACGCAGGCCAGAGTGATAGGCCTGCTATAAATAGTTGACTAAAAGACAGGGAGAGGGAAAACAGGAAAAGGGACAGGGACAGGGGCAAAACAGGAGCAGGAGGATTGAGTTGACTAAAAGACAGGGAGAGGGAAAAGAAAAAGGGACAAAACAGGAGCAGGAGAACAGAAACAAAAAACTGATATGCAGAAACAAAGAACTGCATTTCTCATTTCATCCTTGGATAGAGAAAGCCAGGGCAAAACACGTACATATTGATGGGAACACCAAAATACTGTATGGAGGAGGATGGTCAAAAGCTCAGTCCAGTTGACTAAAAGACAGGGAGAGGGAAAAGAAAAAGGGACAAAACAGGAGCAGGAGAACAGAAACAAAAAACTGATATGCAGAAACAAAGAACTGCATTTCTCATTTCATCCTTGGATAGAGAAAGCCAGGGCAAAACACGTACATATTGATGGGAACACCAAAATACTGTATGGAGGAGGATGGTCAAAAGCTCAGTCCACAAAATGGCTGCCAATTAAGGGACCAAGGAGTAAGAAGGGGCTGAGGAGTTGTAGATTCATCAGGAAGATGAAGGGATTTGCCCTCACTGGCTGTGCAAAGGGAAACCGTCCTCTCTCATCCAAGGAACGCATCTCCTGAGGCTTTGTCTGCACAATTGTGAAAACTTCTAGGGCATAGATAGTCCTGATGGTTCATAGGGATGGGACGGGGAACCACAGTACACAACCTGATCCCAGTGGTAGGCCAAATGTTTTGGCCATGCAAATTGTACATTGTCAGATAACATGGGCACCGTTAATACATAGCTATCCCATCCCAGAATGCTTTGCTTGGTGTCATCATCCACCATTCAGCCTGCAAATCTCATTTTGAGGCTGAGTCTAACTGAAGACTTCTTGTTCATGTTTGTCCTGATTTTTGTACGTTTTTTATGTCTTCTTCCCTTCCCATATACTGTACCACATAGCCCAGGGTTGTTTTGCTGCACTGTGGATTTTGGACTTTGTAACAGCTGGCTTTTGGGGGCCAGCTGTTCTTTTCCATTCCCTCCTCTCTCCTGCTGCTTTTTAAATTGTATTTATTTTTATAACATTTGTGTGTTGTTAACTTTATATTTTATCACCTTCTTCAAGCTGTGAAGGAACTGGGATATATAAATAAATGATGCAAAAGTTCTATTGCATAGCAAAATTTTCCTGAAAGTGATTCAGGCCGAGGCCCCATGTACACATGCAGCTGCAGGATGAGAGGGCAGGGTCCTGAGGTGAGTGAATGGACTGCACATTTTGGAGATCCAGGCGAGGCTGCTGCTTTTGATTGCTCCCACCACCCCCAACCCTGTAGCAATGGCTCATTAGTGCCCATCTCAAGCACAAAACACCAGCAACAAAGGTTCCAATCCACCCCCCACCATTGCACTAGTTTTCCTTTTGCTGGAAGATAGGCTTGTTTCAAACATAGTGGAGCATTCACTGGAGCTGAGGTGACACAAGGTCTGTAATTTCACAGCTTGAACTCAAGGCCACAAAGTTTTCCCTCCTCCCTTCACTGTTTCATGTGGTGGGAGGGGACTCTGAATGGAGGCAAAATTTTCTCCATGCTTAAGAAAAGTGTGGTGGGAGAGGAAGTATACCCTCTGTTGTGCATACGCACGTGCTGTCTCCATGTTGCCTGAACAAGTAGACCCTGCCCTTCCTCTTGCCTCCACTCCACCAGATCTCACACACAGGGGCAAAAGGGGGTAGCAGGGCAATTAGCCCTATCTGTTTCTGATCATGTTATGGGCTGCCTTGGGCCCAATTATTGGGAGAAGATGGGCTAAACAAAGAGCACGGAAGAAATACAACACAAAAGTTATTTGCTAGAACTTTGAATGTGATGGCAAGATGTAAAAAAAATGGACACCTTTAATAGTTATGCAGATGGGCTTTTTCTATTAAAGATGCAGGACCTGTCTTCAGGCATCTGGCACTGCTGCATTGGAGGGATGGGCAATACTTCAGTCTGTCCTACCACCACCCTGATTGCTGATTCCCCACCTGCATTACTTCAGTCCATCTTACTGCCCTGAAGACGTCTAGTACTCTGCCCAATGGCAATTCATAGACCAGACTTTAACCATGCATAGATCCATAGATGTGTGATTGCAGGGATTAAATATCTCATGATGAAACTCTCATGGTGCATGTCTACTCAGAAGTAAGTGCCACTGTGTTCTCTTTTTTCCACTCTGTATTCTGGTGGTAGGTGAGAGTATAGAAGAAAAGATGTTCTATTCCTCCCCTGAACCCCTTTGCCAAGTATTTCTCTGTCCTCTGGGAATTTCTGTGAAGCTTTTATTATTATTCTCCTACAATAAAATGTTACAGCAGAGTGATGAGACGGTCGCAGGTTCAGTCCTCTAGTTTGGGCTGGGAAAAAGACCCGCCTGGAGAGCTACTGCCAGATAGGTTTGATTACAGTGGTCTAGATCAGTGGTCCCTAACCTTGGGCCTCCAGATGTTCTGGGACTTCAACTCCCAGAAATCCTGGCCAGCAGAGGTGGTGGAGAAGGCTTCTGGGAGTTGCAGTCCAAGAACATCTGGAGGCCCAAGGTTGGGGACCACTGGTCTAGATCACTGGTTCTTAACCTTGGGTTACTCAGATGTTTTTGGACTGCAACTCCCAGAAGCCTTCACCATCAGCTCTGCTGATTGGGGGTTCTGGGAGTTGCAGTTCAAAAACAACTGAGTAACAAAGGATAAGAACCACTGATCTAGATGGGCTAACAATCTGACTTGGTATAAAGCAAGTTCTTGTATTCCTGTGAAGTGGAGAAAGTGCCTCTTGCCTGAGTGCTGTGCCAGAAATTGTGAAGATACCAGCAAATCCATACCAAAGGCACTCCCAACACAGAGATGTGGCTCAGAGAAGGAATAAAATTGTGGGGCTTGCTGTTTTGTTGTTGTTGTTTTTGCCATCTTCCATGCTCTGTTTTTTAAGGGAGCCGCTGACTGGAAGGAGAGAGAAGTCAAGCGGGAAACAGCTGCAGATTATGTGTCAATTGCAGAGGAAGGTA